ATCCATAGGACTCCTGTCTCTCCCTGAAACTTCTTACATTTCTTGCCTCCAGCCATTTGCCTCAGTCTATTCATCGATATCTGTCCATCTAGTTTTTTTTTATTGATTCATTCATTCATTTAATTTTTATATTACTCATCTGCCCGAGGGCCACTCTAGGCAGTTTACAACAAAGACACAGAGCAGTATAATCAAAATACCAATTAAACAGGACAAAAATGTAAAATAATACAATACAAATAAACAATACTGTCAGAAAGCATTAAAATACATTTATGGCATAGATAGCAGATATAATGAGGACAGGAAACAGGAAGAATAGCAGCCAAGAAAGGGCCCATTCCCATTTGTTTAAAAGCGTTTTAAAAGTCTAAGCGGTGGTATAAACAGCGAGGCAACACTCAACAGTCCTCCTACAAGAGAGGCCACCCATGATGGCTCCTTGATTTTTGAATTTTCCTGTTGCAGATGTTGAATTTCCTCATTCAGTCGCCTAGTTTCCTTCTCGAATCCTCCTCTCAGCAGAGCCTCTTGCTCCTGGAAACAGAAATGGCAGCGGAATTATTAGATTAAAAGTGAAGTGGTACATAATTTCAGTTAAGATCCTCTCTAAGCGCTGGACAGCTCTCTGCTGGAGAACATCTCCAGTCTTGGAAGGAGACCCAGGTCATGTTCAAACATTTGCCCTCCTGCCACTACACAAATGTTGAGACACAGGGCAGGGAAGGTAAGGATCCATTCACTGGCCCTTCCTCCTCCACCACCCTCTTCCGATTGCTCAGGCTTTTTCACCCTCTGGACCTTAGAGGGATCCCTTCTGCATCGGAGAAAGTGCCCAACTTCTGTAGGTCTTCCATGTGATTTAGAAGCTTAAAAGAGTGGGATGAGATCTCTCTTGCAGAAGTTACCCATTCCATGAGTGGAAGGTGATGGCGCCGAGTGTCTGGAAGAATCGAGGGGCTGAAACCAGCCAATATGTTGCCTCCTCACACGATTCTGACAGCGACACCCCCCCACCCCACCCCACCCTGCGCATGGAGCCTGCCCCCCTCAATACGTCCCTCTCTGTCCTCCTTTTTGGCTTTCTTTGTCCTCCTTTTGCTACCCATGTATCTGGCAACCCTAGCCTGACAGGAACAGCAGGTGAAAATATATATTGTTGTTGTTGTTGTTGTTGTTCTAAGAGCATTGGTAACACAAGGCCTGTGCAGACTGTAGGATACAATGATTTAGATCCATCCTTTGTTCATCCATCCCACATATGGAGATGACTCACCATCCTCTGACTTCAATATATATAATGACTGAATATATTTATTATGTTCATATACATTTCATATATAATATACTGACTATATGAAAAAACCATAAACTAATGAATTACTCCTCTCTCCACTCCTAGAGTCCTAATGCTGGAATACAGTGGGGTCTCTACTTAAGAACTTAATCCGTATTGGAAGGTGGTTCTCAAGTTGAAAAGTTCTTATGTTGAATCTGCATTTCCCATAGGAATGCATTGAAAACCATTTAATCCGTATCTGCTCTTTTCCGTCCATAGAAACTACAGTGGAACCTCTACTTAAGAACTTAATCCGTTTTGGAATGGTGTTCTTAAGTTGAAACGTTCTTAAGTTGAAGCAAAATTTCCCATAGGAATGGACTGAAAACCAATTAATCCGTTCTGGCTGTTTTTTTGTTATGTAGAGGTGCGTTCGTACATTGAAGCATTAGTTCCCATAGGAACTAATGCAAAGCTGGTTAATACGTACTCTACCACTACGGGGAGATTTTTTTTTTAACCTAAGATGACCTAAGGTTAAAAAAAGAGCAGGAAAGGTTTTTTTTTCCTGTTCTTATCTTGGATTTCTGTTCTCAAGTAGAAACAAAATTTAGCAAATGGAGCTGTTCTTAAGTTGGATTGTTCTTAAGTAGGGACGTTGTTCTTAAGTAGGGACGTTCTTAAGTAGAGACCGCACTGTAACAGCTGCTTTCTTTGAGAAGGAACTTGTTGGATGAAGGCTGAAATTTCCTTATCTATATAAGGAAATTGTTTGTCTTTGTTTGGACAAATGGATTCCTTCCACTTGAAGGAACCCTGTTCTCTTTGGAGGATCTGGTTTACTACATCTGGCATAGAGCAGGATGCTTAATGACCTTGGAATCCATCCAGAAAGAACCTTCTATAAACATCGACCTGTTTAAATAATTTACCTTTCCTTTGTGTAAATAATTTTATGGATTGCCTATCTCTATCTGTATCACTCCATTATCACCAAGGAGAAACACAGCCTGGCATTGTGCTATTCCTCAGAGAGTTTGAACGCTTCCCTCAGAAATTGTAGAATAAATGATTTCTCCTCAAGCAGTGCAGAAACAGGGGGCAAATTCTTGGAAGCAGGACAACTAGTTATTCTTTCATTGGTCTTCTTCCCACATGCATACTAGATCTTGCGGCTGCCATGTTGTTTCTTCATGTACTCCATTTTGACCCATGAGCATCTCTCCTCACTAGTAGAGCGGAGACTCTGTTCCCTTAAAACATCCTGAGGTAAAAATTCAGGGCAGCAGGAAGAGCTCCATTCCTCAGGAATGGCATTATTTCTCCCAATTAAACCTTTTCCTGCTGCATAGCGCTTATGTTGACACTATGACAGTTATTCTGCCTTCCTCCCTTCATCTCATTTAGGGTCCCTCAGTTCCTCAAAAGTTCAACTCAGGCCTGGTTTAGATATGAGGGGTGGGTGGCAGAAATGATGATACGTTACCACTAACAGCAGGTAGCAGGCAACTTTGCAGGTGCTCCCTTTCGTTCAACACAAAAAAACAAAACAAGAAATGCACACAACAAAGCTGCAGGATACTAAATATATAAATTACCCAATAATAATAATAATAAAAACTAGAACAGGAGAAAGAGTGTCCTGGAGCATCTTTTCTACAATGTACTTGTGTTTGTGGGAGATTTTCTGAGGTGGAGTAATCATTCCGAAATGGAATGGTCTCTCCAGACCTCATCCCAGCACCAGGACGGAACTAGTCCTATACAATCAAATTTGTGGCAATAAACATCTCCTAGTATTGTCAATCGTTGCATTTCCTCCCTAGCCTGGCCAAAAAGCTCAATAAGACTTTATCAGGTTAGATTTAAACATATATAGCAACGTGAACAGTGAACAGAGCCCTGACAGTGTCACACAGGTGTTCTCTAGTTCAAATATGTGTTGAAGCTTTTGCAACCTCGTATGCTGCCTGTAGTTTGTTTGGTTGGGAGGGACCTTTCGGGACTGGGCTGACTGTCAATCTATCCAGCACTGACCAATCATTCCTTCCCATTTCTGAATTCAAAGAAAACTCTGGCTCTCTGCTCTGTGATCTTTCCCCATTTCTGAATTCAAAGAAAACTCTGCCTCTCTGCTCTGTGATCTTTCCTTCTGTTTCATCTTTTGGAAGTCAGTTCACTCTGTTTGTTAGTTTGCCGTTTACTGATTCCAACTATAAGCAATGAAACACTTTTAATATTTTCCCCTGATGATGTCTCTGTGAATCACTGAGACTGTAAAGTCGATTCGATGAGAGACAGGATGAGAAAAAGGATCTGAGGAACCTGACACTATTCTCCTCTGTGGCTCTCTGTACTTCTGCTATGTAGCTAAAAGGAATTTTAACCAGAAATCCACTGCAACTCTACTCTCCAGAACATAACCCTTAGAAAACTTCTCTAGGGAACCAGGACTTCCTGAAAGAGAGGAAACTCCCAGTGAGCGAAAAACAAACCCAAGAAGGATACTGAAGCCGATCCATAGCATTCTGGTCAATGGTGCCCATGCTGTTGTAGACCAGGGTGCTGCTAAGAAGCACAGCCAAAGCAAAGATCCAGGTGTCATTTCGCGTATCTCCCTAAGAAAAGAGGGGCAAAAACACTTTGAGTGAGGGGAATGTTCTGCCTCTCCCTTTCCAAGTTAACTGTTGCAATCAAGGCATACCTTACTGTGTAATAAAGAAAGGATAGTTATTCATGGAGCATTGTCACCAATATTATACTGTTGTTTTAGAGAAAGAAATATGGTATTTATTTAAAGTATTTTTACCCTGCTTTTCTCCTTAAAAAGAACCCAAGGTGGCATGCATCATTAAAAGACAATATTCAAAGCTGCAAACAGTAAGTATACAATGTACAGTGGTGCCCCGCATTACGACGTTAATTCGTTCCAGTGAAATCGCTGTAGTGCAAAAACGTTGTAAAGCGAAATAAAAAAGCCAATTGAAACGCATTGAAAACCCCTCAATGCTTTCCAATGGGCTGAAAACTCACCGTCCAGCGAAGATCCTCCATAGGGGCGGCCATTTTCAGGTGCCTGTCTTGCGAAAAATGGCTCCTAAACACAGCGGGGAGCCATTTTGAGCAGCCGGCGGCCATTTTGAAAACCCAACGATCAGTTGTTTGTTCGTCGTAAAGTGAAAAATCGGTTCCCGAAGCAGGGAACCAATCTTTGCTAAGCGAAAAGACCCCATTAAAACATCATTTTGCGATTGCATTTGCGATTGCAAAAACATCGTCGTGAAGCGGATTCGTCGTTATATGGCATAATCGTAAAGCGGGGCACAACTGTATTCGCGAAGGCTTTCACAGCCGGGATCTGATGGTTGTTGTTGGGTTTTGGAGCTCTTTGGCCGTGTTTTGAAGGTTGTTCTTCCTGACATTTTGACAGTCTCTGTGGCCGGCGTCTTCAGAGGACTGTCCACAGAGACTGGCGAAACGTTAGGAAGAACAACCTCCAGAACATGGCCAAAGAGCCCAAAAAACCCACAACAACCATTAGTAAGTATACAAATACCAAAAAGGATCAAACAAATCCCACTCTAAGGAATGGGAAACAAAATCAACTTCCAAAACACATTCCAAGCAGGAAAGATACAACGGCTGTGTTCATACATCACTTTAAGCCAGGAATTATTTAATCAGAAATATCCTTAAACTATTGCTTGCTGTTGGCTTACAAGATAGATTGATTTCTTCCAAACAGGAAATATACGCCTATAAGCTGCTACAAGACAGTTTCCTATAAAAACAGTTTGGGCCACCGGGAAATGGCAGGGAGGGGAGGCATAAAGAACAGATTCACCTTTTCCACGTCACCTAGTCCCTCAGTATCCAGAAGAACAAGGGTCTGATGAGGCCTATCAGGGTAGGGAACACACCACATCCAGATGCCTTTTGTGTTTGCTTGCACTGTAGAGCCCAGAGCGAAACCTATAGATAGAGATAATCACACGGGACAGAAGTGAAGACGGATATACCAGAAAAATTGAGCTGGATCATGATTGCTATCTAGGTTTTTTTGGAACATTCAGAAGGGAGTGTTTTGCCCAGTATAGAAAAGCAGTGACTATCCTGCAACTTCTGGATTTCTCATACAACCGTTCAAGAGCCCTCCAAGGAAAGGTAGTATCATTACACAGTGGGTTGTTTTATGAGATTTTAAAAGAATACAAGAATCAAGAGAGTCAGATATATATACACAGATAAAGACAGAGACAGAGATGAAAACACAGCAAATGGTGAAGGCTTCTCAGACTTTTAGTCCAAGAACATCTGGGGACTCAAGATTGAGAACCATTCCCTAGATTCTAGTCCAGATGTTCTTGGACTACAACTCCCAGAAGCCTTCACCACCACCTCTGCTGGCCAGGATTTCTGGGAGTTGAAGTCCAAGAACATCTGGAGGCCCGAGGTTGGGGAACCACTGCCCCAGAACACAGTCACTGTCATGGTTTATCTTCCTATGGGCTTTTTTGTGTGGTAGTTTTGAAAGGAAGAGAGTCGTGGACTCCACAGTCAAAATCTAATGGTGTAACTTGGTCTCCCGTGACCGAGAAATCAGGATTTACCCTCCATCTCTCATTGCAGTCCCCCAGGTTGCCAAAAAACCTGCCTGGAGGAAGATGTAAGAAGGAAGTGGCCCAGGCTGCCAGAATGCCAGAGAAAGCAGGGCTAGATCCTGGTCAATGGATCTATCCAACTTAAGCAGAAACCCCAACCCGTAGGGTGCGTTTTACTCCCTCCTGCCCCAGATTTTCACCATTATGCCACTGGAGATCCATGTCGCTCACCTGAGTTTTTGCCAGCCAGTTTGTTCATGAGGTAGGACTTGCCCGTTCGGTACAACCCCACAATAGCCACCACCACCACCGGCTGGTGGATCTGAGAAAGCCAACGGAGGGCTTCTGGACAGACTAAAAGCTTTCCTTGCCTATTCTCTATCAGGCACACAGGAGCCGGCATGTCAGTTTTGGAGGCCATCGCTCACAGCTGGAAAGAACAGCATTTGAGAAGAGACGGAAAACACCAGGAAGAGTCATCAACAAAGAGATGTCCACGTTTTCATGCAAAGACACCTTCTTAGCCAAAGCTCTATGGGAATTCCTGCACTACAGGCATTGTGGAAGAGGCTGGATGTTTTTCCTAATCTCCTCTCGGAAATTCCCATGATGGAGCGCAAGGACAATCTTTAAGTTCTAAGGTGGGAAAACCAATAAATTAGTAAGACTCAGTGGCTGAAATCCAGTTGATTAGTGTAGCCACTAGTGTTAATGTAGTGTAGTAAGTTATTACTTGTGTAGAGCCATTGAATTAAAGGAATTTATGGAGAAGTTCACCCCCAAATCCCCACTGATTAACTATTCTAGTTGCAACTTACTACACTAAGTTGCAATAAGATTTTTTTGAATTCAAAAACTCAAACCCATATGAAGACTTCAAAGCACCCCTTACAGTACTGAAGCTACTGGTTTTCAAACAGTTCCACACTGACTCGTATCCCAATGACGCTTGCTGGGTTGCCCTTATGCAAAGGTGTTGGTGGCACACTTTAGGATATACTCACAAGGTGCCAATTAGTCTTGCGTGAACTGAGAGCAATCTAAAACAAGATGAAATTACAAAAAGGAAGGAAGGAAGGAAGGAAGGAAGGAAGGAAG